GCCAACGTAAGTTTTACACTTTTTTATTATTAAACTTACAATTGACACGTGTAAAATTTTTTTATATTTTCCGGATGTTTATAGGATCATACAAATCCAAATTAAATTAATGGTAGCATAGTCTGTTCAAGCTCGCAACAACTAGATGAATCCTTTGCTGTATTTAATGCAAATGGAACTGTGGACAGTTCTTTATTAAAAACTTTTTCTGATGATCTATATGTTCTGCACTTTAGAGATGGATGATATATTTAAAAATAATATCCAATTGCAAGGAAATTTTGGTTTCCTGATTAATCTTAAAAACGGCCCGTGATCTGATCCTAGAGAAAGAATTACTCGGTAAGTGTTGTTTATTGTAAGAATGGCGGTGGCGGTTATTGCCACCACTCTTCACTCTAGTTTTTTTGAAAAATTGACATCATGGCACAAAAAGTTCAGCGACTAAGTGACTTGCACTATATACATGAATCGAAAATATTAATGTGTGGTCTTATAAATTAACCGAATTTAACAAAAATATTTTTATTTATTATAGTAACTCTCTCATTGATAATACAAGCTTACCAAATGCAAAAGATTATGAATTTTTTTTAATACATTTGATCCACGAAAGGTTTATGCCATTGAGTTTTTTGCATGGTGTGTCCTGAATAATAAATATGATATTGATGTTGATCTCAAAACCTTAGTTCATACGTATTTTAATAAAGTTAATGGATTATCAAGCCAAGATATTTGGAATGTTTATAAGTTGGAATTTGATGTCACTAGAAAGGTAAGGTATTTTTTATTTATATACAAAAAAAAAAAAAAAAAAGCCATAGTTAAATTTATTGATTAGTGTTGTAATGTTGCCTTAAATTCATCTGGCACCATTACCTTATGTAATAATATTGTTATTTTTGTTTTAATTACTTTCTCAGGATGATCTGTCTTCAAAAAATAAAAATAAAAAAGATCGTGAAATTTATTATAATTTCGTAAGGAGTGGAGATGTAAAACTTGTTAGTAAAACTACAGTGAACCCTCTATAAGTGCACCCCCCTCAGGAACATAGTGCTATTTCTTGTGAGCGTGCATTTATGGAGGGTG